GACTCCGCACATCCATCACAGTACTCCGGAGTGCCGGTCACCTTGATGCCCATCTGCTTAGCGGTCTCGTATACGGTCTTGGAGTTGGCATGGCCGAGGGAGCAGTGAAGATCGTTGTAGTTGATACTAGACTGCAGGCCAGGCCGTAGCATCGCCGCGACCATCGCGGGGGATTTGACGTGGTGGGGTAGGGGATCGACGCGAGTCCCCTGGATGTAATTTCCGTGCGGGAATTTGGTGAATTGCACTAGCCCCCCCCAAATCGGTGCCCCATGCCGGTTGAGCTTGATCTCATGACGTTCCTGGATCTGGTTCAGCGACAGAACATCTAGCGCCAAATCCGGTACCACGCCAACATTCTTCAGCGTAACACGCACATCCTCATGGCGATGGAAAATCATATCCAAATCACCGAAGAACTCTACCGGGATAAGCTTGCCGTCGCCAAGCATGAGTAGCCGCTCCTCCGGGCGCGGTGGACGCCTGTTGTACACCTTTTCCCCGGAAGGGACCACGTGGACCACGGCGCCAGAGTCTCCGAGGAAGACTGTGGAACCCGGGCGATGCGGGAAAAGGTTGGATATTTCGCGCGCAGGGGGGGATGAGGAGACGGAACAGACAAGGTGCATCGCGAAGAGACCGCCACCAAAGGTAACCTCGCCGTCGCCGCCAAGCGCCTCAGGAACCGCTCCCGCCGAGTCACTTGTCGCCATGGCACCGTTGGGCTGCAATCCTTCATCGCCACCGTCCACGCCACCGCCGCCGTGGAAAATGTCGACAAACTCAAAGAAGGGCTCGGCCGGTGTCACAACCTGCTACTGTACGATCGCCCCATTGCCAACGCCGCCCCCACTACCGCTGCCGTCACCGCCGCTGCCGCCGCCACCACCGCCACCGGCCATCATGGCGTCACTGTAGTACATCCCATCGGCCGCCGGGATATCACGATATGGGGCGACCGATGCATCCGTCGTGGCGTACGCGTACTCCGGATCAACAGCACCAGCAGAAGTGACGACGTTGAGGTGAGGGTGCCGGTTACTTTTGGCACAATTGCGCCACATGTGGCCGTACTGGCCGCAGGCGCCGCACGTACCTTCGAACCTGCGGGGGGCGGCGCAATGCCCGGCGTGGTGGCCGTGCCTCCCACACCGCATGCATCGGTGCACTGTACCCATCGGCGCGCCGGGCGGAGGTGGTGACTCCGGCTGGTAGTACACGGCGTTACTACCGCAGTCGTAGATCCCGCCAACCCCGATCATAGCGGACTGCTGCTGCTGCCGCTGCTGCTGTTGCGGCTGCCGGTACGGCTGCATCTGCGACTGCTGTTGGTACGGCTGTTGCTGTCGCATCTGCTGCTGCGGTTGTTGGTACGGTTGTTGCATTTGCCGCTGCGGCTGCTGCTGTTGCCGCGGTTGCTGCTGCTGTTGGGCAACAGCTCCCCCAGAGGACCAATATTGCCCGCGGCCGTCGCCGCTGTTACCATTCCGCCGTTGGCCTCCGCCCCCCCCGCCCCCCCCGTTGCCGCCGTGCCCAAAACCACGGCCAACAACAAGAGCATGCGGGTTGGCGGAAACCGCCGGTGTCACAGCCGCCGACCTCATCTCGCTAGCCTTGAGCGTAGCATACCGACCACGCACGACGTCCTGCAGCTCAGCGCGGGTTAGATCACGCTTGGAAAGGCTACTGCGCTTCTCGACATCATAGCGTGCAGGGAGTTGACGGATGAGAATCTGCACAACCTCCAGCTCACTCTTGACAATGCCCACAGCCCAGCGTGCAGGGAGTTGACGGATGAGAATCTGCACAACCTCCAGCTCACTCTTGACAATGCCCACAGCCCGCAACTTGGTCTCAAGCTGTGCAACGCGCGAGAAGAACACCTTTGGGTCCTCATCATCCTTCATCGTGATGTTGTCAAGCTCGGCGACAAGAAGCTGACAATCGGCTGGGTGGTTCGGCAAAAACCAATCCTCCATCATCCTCCACGCATCGGCCACGGAATGGCAAGAGTACAGGGTGTTCTCAAATGGGGCCCCCACCGCTGCCTTCAAGATAAAACCCCACATCCTCTTGTGCTCACCAACAAGCTTTGAGCCGAACTGGCGAGTCAGGTATCCGACGTCTTGACAACTCACAACGGGAACCTCAGCACTGCCGGCGATGGTATGCAGGAGATCATGGTTGTCCGCGTAGACCCGGAACCGTCTCCGCCAACTAAGAAAAGCGTCGGCGGTGCAATTTGACGGGAGTCTAGGCACAGGAGTTCTGACAATGGTACCTCCCAAAGGCAAACCCGGCACACCAGTACCACCACCGTGACTCACCCCACCTGGCCCCGTCGGCCCCACCGATGCAGATGGAGCCCCTCCAGTAGCAACTAGACCGTCGCCTCCTGGGCTGCCGGCAGGTGCACCCGCCGACTGCTGCTGTGCTGCCCAAACCTCCGCCGTCTCAGCCTTAGCAGCCTCTATAGCTCGCAGCGCCTCATCCAGCCTCGCGCGCACAGCTGCAATATCCTCCGTATCCCCACCATCCGACATATCTAACTAAAACCCTAAACCTGCTGTCCCAGCCTCGAAGTGCTGTCCCAGCTATAAAACCTGCTGTCCCGGTCCCCGCAATGGCCACCACACCAGCTACACAATGCTGCTGTCCTCGCCCCCGTTGGCCGCGATCCCAGCTTGAAGAAATATAGAAGAAAAGTGTCGACCGCTCCGTTGACCCGGCTCACACAGCTCAGACGCCAATACCCACTACCAACACCAGGCCCAATATATTGTGTTTGGGTGCGGTAGCCCGTCAGAGGCCGAAAGAGAAAGAAGGTTGACTCAAGACCTTGGTTGATTAGAGAGTGGCATGCACGGCGGAGGCACGAGGGGCCCCGCACGTATCATGTCCATCATACACAAACATCATCCACGTAACCCCCGGAGGCCCCGTAGATCAGTATCCTGCTGAGCACCCCAAACAGTAGCACGGTGTAAATTTAATTACAATACACGCAAACGAAGCAGCTTCTGAGCCAATGACTGTGATACTCGTACTTGTACAGCAGTGGTGCATGCTGTGCGGCCGACGTGCACGTACGCGCATGTACTGGCACGCAGTACAAGTACACCCCCAAACAGCAGGAGGCACGGGACAAAATGGGTTCAATTTCTACAAATAAAGCATTCGGCGGTTTTATTACAATTACGAGTAAATATTACGTACGGAGCAGCCCCTTGCACAGCAACTGCGCTGCTTGTACAACCTGTACAGCAGCAGCGCACGTCGTGCAGCAGTCATATGCACAGGTACAAGCACACTTCGGCAGCAACAGACAGGGCTAAAAACCCTTCAAAGCACGGACCGTTTTTTTGTGCACGTGAACATCATGGCGGCATTATGGCGGCTGCGCCTGTACTTGTAGAGCAGCAGTGTACATTGTACAGCAGTCTTGCACGAATATAGGCAGCAGTGGGGTTAACACAGCAGTAGCAGCACCTAGTCCTAGATGCACGAGCGCAGCAGAAGCGGTGGTATCATGTTCATGACTTCTTGACCACAGCAGCGGCGGAGCCAGTCGGCGGAACAGCAGCATAACAGACCCACACTCGTACAACTCATTGCTCAACTTGCCTGGAGGAAGCTCGACATCGGCCGGCGATGATCCGGAGCTGTTGCTTCGGGGTTCATCGGGTTGTGTGCCTGGGTTGATGTTCTTGCCGTTGTTGCCTTGCTCCCAACTCAGTCTCCACCAACTTGCTGATGCTTCAGCCTCCTCGGGCGTGGTGTACCATGCGGACCTCTTCCTCGCAGTTTTTTTCTTCTTGGGGGTATAGTTCAGCTCCAGTCGCCACCGATCTTTACTCTTGTCATAGTTTATCGCAGGGGCAGAGGTACTCTCCCACCGCTGGGTGTGCTGCGCGTCCGTAGCCATACACAGCGCGCTATCGAGAGAGGTGTGCTGCTGTGATGTGCCTTGATGGGCTCCGAATTGCGTAATTTCGCCGCATTTGTTTTGTTGATTGTTGATGGTTTTGACGGTTTCAAGCCTCAAAATATGCTTCTATTTGAGAATCCTCAGAATCCTCCGCTATGAACTGATACAGAGTTCCATCATCAGCGCCAGAGTCTCCCGATCACGGCAATGTCTTTGATTTGAGATGAATCGCAAATGCGGCAAAGTTATGACCATCTGACACAATGTGGTCTTCTTGGCCGGACTAGCTTGTAGGGCGCCCAGAAGTTGCTGGGTTCGCAAAAGTTGACAGCACACCAAAAAGACCCACCGCTGCTGCGTCCAGGCTCTCTCGGCTCGTTTGCCGCTTGTTTGTGCCACACACATCGGGTTGTCCACCTGGTCCAGCCGAATGAAAAAAACAACGGTCACCGCTGATGCTACCGACTCTGCACCAATCACATAATACAGCTCGTGTGTGAACACCGTTAGAGTTTGCGGGGATCAACCGTCGACAGATTCAAGTTTGTAGGTAAGCGCGCGCCATGTGGTTGTGACCAAAGAAAGACAAAAGATTTTTTCACGGCCCAATCCTGCCCAAAACTTCCTGAAAAAAGACAGGGTGGGCCGCCCAAAACGAGTTGTCATTTTTTAAGATATTTTCCGAAAAAAAGACACTGTAAGAAGGGGCTCTTTGGCCAGCTGTATGTTTTGGGATGAAAAAAAGAAAAAGGACAGCCGAAAAAAGGAACCGAAGACGACATCAAAAGGATGCTGGTGTGAGCAGCAGCAGACACGATGCTTGCGTCCGGCACCGGTTTCGCTTCGTTTGAATACCACCACAGAGAAACTCGGGGTCTAGGTCGCGCGAAGGCACCGCCGTGATCTCGTGCTCGTCTTTCATGAGCTCAAAGCAGTCGCAAGCGGACAGAACGAACGGAAATCAAACCATTTTGGTTATTTCGGTAGCAGAAACCAGTCTTTGAAGGATTGGAATACACACCTACGCGCGTCTCGAACGATGCCTGGACGTACTGCCTAGAACAAGCATGTGAACAAACACCTGGATCAAAAAACAAATAGATTTCTACGAGCGTAACTCCTAGCTACAATACGACCGAGAGAACAAACAGTTTCTCCAAGGCCAAACACAAATTCACGACATGCACGAATCCATTCATTGACAAATACATGCATTTCCTGCATGACTCGGGCCTTCGTCATCCGAATTGTTTCTACAATCGTGTGAAAAACGCCTACATCAACATTCAACTGCTTGAAGGCCACCAACAAATTCGCAATATATTGCACAAATCCGCTCATTGAGTTTAGATGCTGAAAAGCTAAATTCCTGCATGATTGGGACCTCCACTACCCGAACTGGGAACGGCCAAGATCGGCAAAACAATTCCGAAAGAAAACGTTGGGTCAAGTTAACATAAAAAAAAAAAATTACTGTACGGGCCCGCACTGAGTGCCTAGTCACGACCAAGATTACCTCATCGCCTGGTACAGCCCGTAGCAAAAAAACAAGAGAACCGCTGGGAGGATTCCATCCATCGAGCCTTCGTCGCCACCACCGCCACCTCTCAGAAGTGAAGATGTCACGCCGATGCGCGGAAAAGGGGGGGGTCTCAAGGCTCCTCGGCTCGGACGCAACGGCAGAAGCTGCACGAGCACGCGCACCCCGGCCTCACCCCGCCGGTTTCCGGGTCAGCGGCGATCCAAGGGCACTTGGGCGCAGCTAGCACTTGGAAAGGAGCCGGTGAAGACCGCTGCTGCAGCATCGTCCTAGTTTTCGTGCTGCCGGCGTTGACGCCGTGGCAGCAGCTCTCGGACGGGCCACGGGGTCCGGAGAGGGGAGAAGCGGCGACTGCTCGTCCGCCCCCGCCTTTGACACCAGCCTGACGGCGGAACAAAACGGAAGAAAACAAGAGGGGGATCTCAAAGGAGGGAACCGTGCAAAAAAGCGTCACGAATTGGTGCCGCGTCTCATCCACAACTCTTACACTGGAAAGCCCTCAACATACGCATTCTAGGGCAAAACGTGCATCTAGGCAAGCTAGTGTGCTGCAGTGACGACCATAAAACCAGCCATGACTTACCCGTGTGCGGCGGCGTAGGCCATCCGCGGAGCCAACGATGGCCCCCAGCTCCTTGTTGGCGCCGTCCCTGCAGCAAGAGCATGTGCAGCCAATATCCAACGTCCACACGGTAGCCGTTTCCGACTGGAATCAACGGTTGGGCCATCGGAGGTCGGATAGGAACACAGGGCGGCGGGGGTGCAGCGGGTGCGGCAGGGGGCTGGGTGTTAGACGACCAACGCTCTTTCTGTTATGCAAACAGCCTTCTTCTAGCTTTGACGCGCGCCGAGTTGCGGGTAGTGTCAATATTGCTCAATCTTGTTGACGTCAAAATACGTTGAACGTGTAAACCATGCGGCAAAATGAACAGTTGCATCCCCGTGGGTATGACCCCTATTTCCAACATCTCCTGTTTAGCGGCGTTGGCGCCACGATGAGGCTGTTCCACACTGAGGAAACTCACGTACTGACGATTTTCATCGGTCACCTTTTGGCCCTGTTGGTGTGCTACGTGGTACTCGTCCCAGCAGCGCTGCGCTACAGAACCCAAAGACGCGCGCGGCATCGATCTCGGCATGCACAGCGTTAGGCAAAAGCTCCTGCTGGCCCCCGTGGCACCTCGAAGGGCGCCTCCCACAAAGAAATTCGTCTACATATTCGTCACCGACAGCACCAAATCGTGTTACATACATGAGCCGGAAACTCGTTTTCCGCGGACACCGGCACGGCAAGTCACTCGCACGCTATCATAAATCCCCTCTACGGTGAAAAAATCGCAGCAAGCAACATCTGTGAAAGGTACCCAAGACACCAAACTATCTCTTCATCACCCGCCGCAGCCCTCGCGCGTCCGAGTGAGATTCTCGGTAGGTGAGAGCGCACTGATACCGGATTTGCTAATGCTTGACTCTTGGTGGCTGGCTTTTTCTCAGACTGTACACAGTCGTTCAATTTTTCGGTCGCAGGTACCACCGTATCTTACCTCCAGGCCGGCTGTGCCGGACTCCTCGGCCACGGCGGAGGACCGCTTGGACCTCGCCTTTCGCGCGGCTGCGGGGGGGCGGTACAGCCTGAGCGCGAGGGAGGAGAGCAGTACAGAGACCGACGATAGCGCCTGGGAGTTCCACGTTGGAGGCCAACAGACGAAGAGAGGCCGTGGGTCAAGACAGGAAACAGGAAGACGACATCCGCTTAGCCGTACCTTAACCTTCACGCAAACAAGGAAATTTTGTTCCTGGCGTGCTTTTGAGACAATATTTAATGCTCGCATGCTACTTCGGGAAAAAACAGTTGGCCAAGCGAAAGGGGTGGGGGGGGAGGGGGGCACCAAAACACTGCGCGATACTCAGCGCGAATGGCGATGCTTTCTCACAACCGTCACCGCCGTCGAACTATCGTCCCCCCAGGCGCCAATTCTGGGAAAGAAGCGTGGGGGATCGATGCCTCACCGTCATGCCATGATACGGGTCTTGATTGGAAGAAAATAATGCAAGATTATTTCCGAGGACCGCGAGGCGGGGGGGACGCCAAAGCGGAGCAATTCACGAGATGTTCTCCCTTCCCTCACGTCGTGCCAAGGAAGAGCGCTAATATTCTCGAGATACGACTACGTGTCTCCCCGCGAGGAATGTCTACGCCCGTCGAAACGCGGTCCGAATGAAGCTGGAGTGGCTGTCTCCGGTGCCTACCAGTGTCGTGAATGCGTGTGCTCTAGCAGCCGCATGCTTGGAATGTCTTACCATCGCACCTCCAGCCAGCATTGGCGGCAGAGTAACCTCGAGCAAGGGAAACAGAACGCCTGCAGCTATCGGCAGCCCGACGCTGTTGTACCTGGATGATGGAGCCCATGTGGGACAGGGGGCGGGCAGGGAGGAGAGGAAAGAGATATTGAAGCGGGGTGGAGAGAGAAGAAATGGAGGGGACGGGGTCGAGAGAAGGCTCCGACCTCGCCCCCCCCCGTCCTGAAAAAGAAAAGGAAGAAGAAATCAGTAAACACGATGCGGACAGGGTTCACATCGCTCGCGTGCGAGGGTTGAAGCTCAGAGCGTCGGACCTACATACGTAGGCGAAATCATAAGCAATACAAGGGGGGAAGGAGGCCTCGTGGAACTCACAAGAGGGCCCAGAAGTAGTTGTAGCGGACCCGAGCAAGGATGGTCCGGCAGAGATCGAGAGAGGTGAAGACGTCCCAAATGCTCGAGCCCATCAAAACCTGCCAGGGAATGCCGACGAAGGGCGCAGGGCGAAGGGACAGAGGGACCGGGAGACAGCAGAAATAAGAGGGGACGAGTTGGCGCAGACAGAGAGGGATGACGGAAATTAAGTGTTTAGAACGATCGGCGGACAAACGCAGAGAGGGCGGGCTCCCACGCGTACCTTAATCAGGATGGCGCCTGGGGCTGGAATTTACCCATACACTTTTTGAAAGATGAATAAAATAAAACTGGTTGTGTATATACAGCTCTATTTGCATCGGAACAGTCGGCGCCTCAGGGCACTGCTTACCACATCCGCCGACTCGACGGCCACGTCTGTCCCACCGCCGACGGCGATGCCCACGTCCGCCGTTGCGAGAGCCGGTGCATCGTTGATTCCGTCCCCGATCATCGCGACCGCCTTTCCATCCTCCTGAAAACCCGGAAACCACAGGAGGGGAACAGCATCAACAGTAGCAGAGGGGGGACCATGAGAACACCAGCGCTTTGTCACATGCCGTCTGTGACGCGATTGCGCTCCGATCTATACTTCAGTTTGAAGGATACGCACTTCGCTGCGTTCCGTTCTTGACAAAAGCAAGGTTCCATCGCCAATCCTCAGCCCCCCCCCCTGCAAGCGTCAATGCAACCAGTCCAGCTGAACCAACGACTCCCTTGTGCGACAGAGAACCACACATGTCTGCGACCCCCCTAATGTGCTAGATCATACATGAGCACACAGCCGCACAGGTTCTGAAGCGTAGAAGAAAACCGCAGAAACAGTGACCGACCTGGAGTTCCTCGATCTTGGAAGCCTTGTCCCCGGGGAGAACCTCGGCGCAGACGCGGTCCGGCGGCAGTCCTGCCCTCCTCGCCACCTGTGCGTCACAACCCGATCGGAGGGGTGCGCGGGCGCAAGCAATGGAGTAGACAGCGACTACATCAAGGTCATTGCAGGTCTGCTACAACAGCGGCGACGCCGGGGGATACTGGAAAGCGTCTTCGCACTTCAGCCCATGGCGAAGAAACGAAACTCAAGGTCCATTGTTCTGGATACGCGCAAGGTAAAACCTGATTGTAGCAGGTTAGCCTCCGATTCTTTGTCGGGTGCAAGTTGTGTTTCCTGCATTTTGAGGCGGAAACAACGAATTCGTGAGTAAACACTTCGAGTTCACGGTCGACCGGGAAAGGAATGGCTCATCCCGTCTCATGGCAAACAATAAGAAGAGCACCGCAAGTAGGAAGGTGGGGCGTGCACGATCGAGGTCCGGTGCTGATGGACGTCTAAAACCCGCTACACGCGTCCAGCCGCGATGCCAACGCCACTCGGTAAGGCGACGATGAGCCCGGCGTATCATTGATTCGTTCCGGAACATGTCCCCTTCGCTGGCCGAGGACAGCATCTCTTCTTTTCCAACAAGTTACCTGGCAACACACACCAATGGCTCCTAATTCCAAGGATACACGGTGCGGGAGACGGGCTGTATTGTTGACCCCCGTCCTCTCTTTTTCTCACCTCGTGGGCTGCCCGCCGGTTGTCGCCCGTCAGCATCCACACCTGTGGTTGTTTCACCGTAGCGTTTGTCGTGTTGCGGCACATTCCACCGGACGTCAGCATTGCATTGCGCGGGAGCGGAAAGTAGCACGCGCGACATCAACGACAACATGAAGCTGAGAAATACATGTGTATGTGGTCGGAGCAAGCAAGGAGGTTCTGGCGACCATGAAAAAATCGGCGCACTATTGTATTTTGTGCTGCTTGCGTTACCCGTCGGGGCGAAGGTCAACCACTCCGGACATTCGCCACTGACCTCGAGACCCATGCCGGTGAGCTCGGAGACGACCCCCTTCGCCTCAGGACGGAGGGTGTCCACCAGCCCGAAGACCCCGGCCACGTGACGTTCGATGGCGGCAATCACCACGGTCCGTCCGGAGCTCTTAGCCACCCGGACAAAACCCAAACGAACAGATCAAGCAGGGTAGGAACGGGGTGTTCGACACTTTTCGAAGGAGGGGATTTCGAGGGCTTGGGCGTGCTGCTCTCTCCGTCGATTTCCTCCACGTTAGCGTATCATGTGTCACGCATCGATTCCATGGGAAGGGGGGGCGATGGCCAGGGGGTGTGTACAGGATAGTCAGCCTTTGGTGGTGAGGTAAGGTGCCATGATATGATTTTCTCTGGTAGCTCCGCATAGAGCTGTTCTCGTGCAGGAAGCACTGGGCCAGCAACCACATCCATCGAGCGGCAAAAAGCCAAGGCGCTCTGCCGGTTTCTGGACAGACACAGGATGCAAGGTATAAACTCAGCGAGAGAGGGCGGCATTAAAAGCGTCGTGATTTTCGAAACCCGAACAAGCCTCAGAGCAGTAGTTCGGGTAAACACGGGGGGCTGTGGACCTTTACCCTGACTCCTATTCTGGACAGGAACGGAACAGACGTACGTTTCAGCGACCGCGCCCCCTCGTCGAAATCGCAAGTACGTTTCAGCGACGCCAGCGGTGCGACTACGTTGGGCGCACCTGCAGTTCCCTCACGACGAGCTCCAGAAGGGGTCCCGCCGGGGAACCGATTTCTCTTTCGATGTAGCCGGGGCTTCCCACACAGACCTGCAAGGTCAAGCGTGCGGTTTTAACGCGACGTCAAGGATCGAGACGAACGAGGGGGGGGGGGGGGGGGGGTCCACAAATCTCACTATTGCTGTGCTACAAGTCTATGCGTTTTTCTCCTGC